AAAACGTGACAAGAAAAAACGTTTCACACAGAAGACTTTCCTTCCTACTTGCCAGATCAAATTTTAACCTGATGGGTAAATCATTGTTCAATTCTCCAAGACAAACATTATAACTGTGGTCTATAATCTTCCACAAGGTCTAAGTAATCAAGCTGTAACTGTTGTTCCACTCAGCTAAGAGTTTATTACAATAAAACCACTGAAACAATGAAAAGACTTGAGAAATTCATTAAGCAAAAACAGCTAAATAGGAAATTTTGTTTTCTCACTGACTGCTTGACAAATAACCCTAGGAAGACACAGCCATCAATCTGGAACAGCCATCTGATCATCACTTCAAGCTATAAAGCAGTAGCATAAAAACATTCTACATATTAAAGCTTCATTATGGAACTTCAAAAAACTGACAGGTATTTACAACAGAGAGACACTGTAATAACTGGGGCTTTTAAAATAAAAGTCTAGCCTAGATCAAAGAAAGTTATTTATTCACATAACCTTTGCCTAACAACTTTGTGAGCCATGCTGACTAGTAGAGTTCCCTGCTATCTTGTTGGAGGTTTCCTGTTTTTTACAGTACTCCTTATTTTTCAACCCCAGCCCTGCTTCCCACTGTGAGCACACCAAGCCCAGCTCTCAGACAGACATTTCTACCTGCAGGTTTTGCACCTGCATTGGGAGAAAAATAAGCCTGACAAGTGAAACTTGCCTACCTTTCTGTCCTAGCCCATGCTAGGTAACAGCTACTAAGTTTATCCCAGGGAATGAAGAACTGCCACCGCCACCAAACATGCTATTAAAACACTGTGGAATTTGCTGTACAATAATGCTTTCTCAAGACTTAGAAGCACTTCCCAAGTGACCCTTCCATGCAGAAGGAAACTTGGCACGAGGGACTCTGTTCCTCTGGCTGACTCTGGAACCAGTTGAAGCCTTTGAGTGCAGATGTGCTGTCTGAACCATCAGTGAGCTGCTCAAACAGCCCATAACCTCATTCCACATTCACTAGGACCTTCAGACAGCAGCGCAGAACTTGATGCTGAAGGAACTCAAAATCAACAAACACACTGCCTACTGAGCATTGAAGAACTCCTGGAACCTCTTGTGTTCTCACTAAGGTCAGCACCCAATGGGCACATTCTGGCCCTAAAGAAACATTCCTCTGAACCCAAAGTAACACCAAAGAAATAAGTGGATGAATTATATAACTTTTGAAATAAAAATACGTGATTTAAGAGCCATTTATACTTTCTGAAGCTAAATGAAGAGAAAGCATAACATAGTTACAGTGACAATGTTCATTGCATTTTAAGTGAAAGTGACACAAATTTAACCTGATAATTCTCAGACAATTCCCTGATTGCAGTTTCAGAGCATGGCTCTAGCCCTTCACACCTTTCATTTTATTCTCACAAGTCAAGCATCAGTGCTGGGGTGGAAACAGCTGTGACAGCATTCTAGGTACCCAGCTGCTGGTCTAGCAGGGAATTACCCACTCATCAGCACCCAACTCCCCTTAAATGTACAGAAGGCATGATTCAGAAGGAAGGCTGGATCTGTGAAGGGCCAACATACCGCCAACCCACTGTAAGAACGACATTGCTCTTTCATACTAAGTTGTGTTGGGGAGCTGGTTTTGATTTTCTGTGAATGTTTCAGGTTTGCGACAACAGTGTGGCAAAGCGTCTCTGCTCTGCTGCGAATAAGCCCCTTCCAAAAAACTGGGAGACCTACTCGTCTCCCCAGATTGTAGTCTGGGTGGCAAAGAGCTGGAAAGTATCCACTACCCAAACATCACCAAGTAAAAAGACAAGAGATTGCAGAGCAACACTGGAATGCAGTAAGGAAAACACAGTGTGCATAGAACAATGCCAAACAATGTAATTCGAGATTCTATTATATTTATTTTGCAATTCATTCCGAGTACTTGATTTGACAACTTTAATTCTTCAAAGAATCCTGTAGATTGCAATAGATGTAATTATATATGGTTTACACACAGTGATAGTCAGGAATCAGGTGAAACAAAAGAGAAGGCAAAAGAATGGAAGACTTTCCTTCCCAGAGTATCACTGGGAAGTTAAAATGAAGTCTGTAAACATTCTCTGGAGCTTAAATGTACATTTAACGGTTTCAGATTACAAGTTAGAAAGGGAATGCTGCCCTCATAGTGTAGATTTCAAAACTTCTTGTAAAGATTTAGAGAGATAATAAACAAAAACCCAAGGCAAGTCCTTATACCATAAATCCAAGGTAGGTACTTTCACATGGAGCTATTTCTAAACAAGCTTTCCTTCCTTTTGCTTAGTGTATCAGTGTCCAAGGAATATTAGCAGCACGCTTTGATAGTTGACTTTATTTTTAAAAAGGCAGTGTTTGGGGTTTGTGGAGTTGCCGGTAGTTGAGGGGAGAGCTGTTGTTTTGTTTCGGTATTTTGGGTGTTATTTTTATTTTAGTGTTAAAAAAATAAAATTGGACAAAAGCATATAAATCACAACAAACACATTTAAATCAAAATACACCTAGTCATCTGCAATTTGGAAAGCAGATTTTAGGAAGACAACTCTCCAAGTAATTTATTCATTTTCTTTAGTTAGGTCCAGAGGCTGAAGCTGCTGGCTAAGCCAAGCAAACGGGTTAAGATTCCTTAGGGACAGTTTCCTGGAATTTTTCTTTTGTAAAATAACTTTGAGAACCATCAGTGATTTTAGCTACTTCTAACACAGATTCTTGGCTCTTCTTTAAACTATGACATGTCTTTTTATCCTGCTTTAACTATTTAAATATATTGTAAAGTAGCACCAGGACTTAAGAGATCATTTTTAATATTTTATTATATGAACTTTAATTACTAACCATCAAGATAAGTTTCATTAAACTACTGGTTCAGTTTTTATACTGTAGCCAAGAAAGTGACCAAAATATTCAAGTTGTGCTGCCAGTGCTCATGTTGATAGACTCCTCCACTCAACAAACAAACTATGAGACTATTTATCTACAATGAAAGAATTAGCTAGCAGGCACTGTCCCTACTTCAAAGACAAAGATAAAACACATTTTTTTGAAAATGCAGTACTTCCACCCCCAAAAAAATAAAGTCCTATGCAGGGGAGGAAAAAAAAAAAAAAAACAAAAAACCAACCAACAAAAAACCACACAGGTTTGCAATGCTGCAATTAGATTATCAGTAATTATTGATATATTCATCTGTGACACAAACCATACAGTGACTAAATTTATTTGAATAGATGGGGGAAGGGCCAGACAGTACATTTGGTTAGAAGGAGACTGTGTTGATTTCCTTGCTAGTTTAAATGACCGCTGAAAACAAAAATACAGTAAGATATTGACCAAAGTTTGTATCTGAAACCTGAGAATAAAGCAAACACCAGCCCTTTAAAAATCCATCAACTCATCTCCTAAATCATGTAGTACTGCATACTACTACCAACACAGGATCCTATCATAACATTGTTCTTTGAATCTGAGTAATAAGTATCTAGAAATGCAAAACAATGCAATACAAGAAATATTTTGCAATAACAATTTCAGGAAAGTACTCAAAAACCCAAACAACTAAAATCAAACCTTTGTCATAGAAAAATGAACTTTAACACTTGAAGAAAAATCCAAGACTGGCTGCTCTAAAAATACTGAGCTGGTAAGAGACAGGCAGTGCTGATTTCATACCACAGTGCCTCCCTAATTGCCAGGAAGACTTCTGTGATAGTTCATTCTTCCCATCCATTCCATGCTTCAGTTTTATCGGAGTATCTGCAAGACTATTTCTGGACATTAGTCATGGCTTAAACAGCATGACAGCTAGGAAATGGACTGGACACAAAAACTCAATACGAGAACTAATGATAAAATTCAGTAACAACTGACCTAGAGATGCGTTCAACTTTTTGCTGTGCATATTTGTGTATTACATCTGGGCCTCAATGAGCTGCACTAGCCCAAACTAAACATTTTACACTTCAAAGTACACCGCAACACAAAGTTGTGTCAGGCTAGAACAAGACTATCAACCACAAGTTCGTTTATCATTGCTTTTGTTTTACTAGACTCTTCACAAAGAGTTGAAGTTTACAGCCAAATGTGAGGTCCTGTGAAAGGTGGGAAAATGCTACCTTGGAGTCCAACCTTCCAACCTGGCTAACACCAGCGGGAGCTCAGCACGTGTGCCAGGGCACCAGCCTTGGTCACACCTGCTCACAGCATACTCAGCTCCACCTTCCCAAGGCCAGGCGCGGACCCTACTTCCAGCAGCCAGTACGACCTGCAGCGAGGAACGTCATGCAAAAAACTGAAGTGCCACAGGTGAGAACGCCTCTTGCAGCAAGGGCACTACCCCGGCCCTCCTGCCCAGCCTTCCATGCAACTGCTTTGGTCCGAGGAGACTGGGGGGACAGCGAGGAGCTGGGTCTCGCACAGCCCCGCTGGCCCACAGGCAGCCACGGCACGCTGAGCCCGAGGCCATCGGCCACGCACCTTGAGACCGTCCAGGGTTCATCAGGTCCCGGCCCCCGAGCAGCCCTGCCCCTCAGGAACGCTGCCAGAGCCCGGCACCCGAGCTCAGCGGGGAGACGGGGCTCGGGCACACCCTGCCCTCGAGTTCGCCGGGGAGTGACAGGGGGCGGCGAGCAGAGGGGAGGCGCCGGGCGCCACCCCCTCACGCCTCCCGGCCGGGCACCGGCCGCGCTCTCCGCGGCGAGCACGGGGCAGGGGCACGGCTGGAGCGGCGCGCCCGGCGCTGCCCCGGCACCACTGCCCGCGGGGGCTGCGGCTGCCCGGGCGGCAGGACAGCCCCGGGGGCCGGCACCAGGGCTGGTCAGCTCGGCACGGCACGGGGCGGCGGGACGAGGTTCCGGGCACCGCCGGCGGGCAGCGGCGAGGCACTTCCTAACGCCGCCAAACTTTATCGGGCGCCAGCGCCGCCGGACACAGCCCCCTCCCCGCTAGTGACAGCCGCACGTCCCGGCAGGGCGAGTGGGTACCTCAATGTCCACCGGGTCCCGGCTCAGCACACGAGCCATGGTGTCCGCACCGCCTTCCCCCGGCTCCCCGCAGTCCCGGAGTGGAAGGGAGCGGAGAGCGGGAAGAGGCGGAGCCGGCAGCCCGGGCAGCAACGCCCAGGTGGGCGGGCGCCCCCCGCGCCGGGCCGGGGCCGCCCCGCGGGGCAGGGCAGGTGTGGCGGGGCAGGGCAGCGCTCCGGGCCCCACTCCCCGGGCCTGCGGCGGGCGGCAGCGGCCACCGAGCGGCGGGGGTGCGGCTGGGCGGCAGCGCCGCGCGGGGCTCCCCACGCACCGCCCCGCCGGGAACGGCCCGGGGCTCCCCACGCACCGCCCCGCCGGGAACGGCCCGGGGCTCCCCACGCACCGCCCCACCGGGAACGGCCCGGGGCTCCCCGCGCACCGCCCCGCCGGGAACGGCCCGGGGCCGCGCCCTCCGCACGGTCCCTGTGCCTCGCCCCACGTGCGCGCCCGGCCTCCTGCGCCCCTGTCCCTTCTCGTTCCCTGGTGGTGGGCGAGAAACTGCGCGGGGAGGGCCAAACGCCACTTTGGCTGTGTTTATCCACTCCCGACAATCCCACAGGAGCAGCCGGCACCCTCCCGGCCAGCAAAGAGCAGTGGAGCCTTGCCAGGGTTACACCTTCCCAGCAGTACCGGCCCGGGCTCTCCCTGAACTTCACCCTTCTCCCCCAGGGACAGCGAGCCTTCCCACCCCCTCGGGAGACTCCCCTCGCAGAATCCATCCAGCAGGTGGGAGTGGTGCGCGAAGGCGAGGTCACTGCCTACCAAGCATTGCCATTGTTTAACACTACAAACACAATATTTACGGTATCACGGAAACAAACATTCCCACTGCAACAGGCCCAAAAAGAAAGCAAGTAGTCTCCATTTAGGGAAGCAGCAACGCCCAAAACAGCCAGCCAACCAAACACTGTAATATCTGTTTCCAAAGTGTAGTTTCACTTAGCCACATCTATGATTCCTCAAAATAAGAGCACACTTATCCCCATTTAACAAGGACAGAGGAGTTTAAAACTAATCTTGGTTTGTTTTTTTTTTTTTTTTCCAATGTGCATGCCAGGAAGCTTCCTGGGTTCTTCCTCCCCTTCTTAAAAGATACCTGGGATCTGCTCTCCATGCTCTTTACAGCACTCATTTTAGCCAGCTAGTTTTTATTATCCCCAACTTAGTACAGCATTAAAAAAAAAAAAAAATGTTTCCCACTCCTAGTTACTTTACAAAAAGTCTGGAAAACTATAAGTAGCTTCTGGACACTGGTGACCCTTTGGGTGTGGCAGGGAATTGGTTTACCTTTTCCTTTCATGTCTCAAGAGATAATGCCTCTCACAGAATACCATGGAAATTTTTCTTTGCCTTGTAATTATTTTATTTCTTTCCATCTCTGTAAATGAGCACTTTAGACATGCCCAATGGAGGGTTTTTTCCTTTGTAAGATGTGAAGAAATAAGGTTGTGGTCTTTTGTGTCTCAAGTGAGAGCTATATTTTCTCACGTCTCTGCTTCAGCACTATTGCATAACAATTCTTGCTGATTATGATCACCCATGTAAAGCAGCTGAAGTGTTGGCAAGAGAATCAGAAGCAGGATCACCTTCATTGCTAGTACTTATCTCTAACAAATCCAAGAGTCTTTGGTTCATTTCACTAATATTGACATTGCTCAGCAGCTCAGTGGTCTGATGCTAGCTGGGGAGTTATCTAGCTATGTTTGCTCCTGACCTACAGCACTATATTGACTATGCAAGTACATTAGGTGCAAGTCATTTTCACAAGGAATATTTCCATGTACACAAAATAAACTTCTTTGCAACCAAGCACTTGGAGTTTGCCTCCATTTGTTCTTGTTCACATAGAAGAGACTAGCAGCAGGCACTGAACTCTCCATTATACACATCTTCTGTCTTGTTCTGCAAGTTGTAATTTCTTGGTTACCCCCATGTAATCTAGCAACTCAAATGAACCCAACACCACAGGATTTTTCACCAGTGAAACCAATAAATATTGACACCATGTAGATTTCATGGAAGTAGATTTTTTTTTTTCCTGCAAATGAAGCAAAACTTACTCTGTCAATACACACAGGCCAGAGAAAGAGATTCTGAGACTTAACCATACTCTGCTTTAATTCACAGCTCCTCTTATTTCTGTTTCCATGTTTCTACTGAGAATCAACTTACTGTCTTTAAAGCATGGCAGTCAGCCAGTCTGTATCAGCCTGCTGCTGTTTGCCAGCTTTCCCCAGCAGTTTGGGAGAGCTGGCCTTCCATGGATCACCCATCTGAAGCCTGGATTCTGAGCAAGCAGTGCTCAAAGCAAACAGTGCTTTTATCAGCACTGAGCATGTTTACAGCTGAACTTTCTTTCAGGAAAGAAATAGACAAAAAGATGGAGACATGCAAAATATGCATCAGAATACAAATATTTAATCTTGTCTAAAGTAGAAGTTATAAGAAATTTTAATAAGAAATTTTACACAGGCCAGATATAGTTTGGGCTTTTTTCATTAAGTGTTAAGCCTCTGACTTTAATTTTTTTCTCCTGCCGGCAGGATTTTTAAAGCAGCAGAAACAGAACAGGGATACTAAAGACTTAGCTTTCACTTCTGACATGAAATGCTGTTGAGGCTTGGTTGAGTTATAGGCTTTTAAAAATTGCCATTAACCTTTTGTTCCTGGTGCTCTTAAGGTAAAATTTGTTCACATGCCAAAGAAATAATTGCATGTGAACTTTCTCAGAAAAGCTCCAGGCACTCACTGCTACCAGAGCAGCTACAGCCTTGTGCTGGGAATGGTTGCCTCACTGGGAGAGCAAAGGAGGGCAGGGCACCAGACGGTGAGAAAAACCATGTCCTTCAATTTCAAACGGTTCCAGGAACACAACCTGCAATTTAAAAAAAAGGATACCTCCTCCAGCCATTGCAGTAGTTAATCTCCAAGTTTAAAGGGTAAACTGTAAACTCCGAAAGTTCAGCATTCAAATTCTGGCAGTGATGTATTAGGGAGCCTAGAGGTCTCCATGTACTGATATGTGGTACAAGCAGCTCCCCACTTTTTAATCAAAACTGCCCCCGATTCACGTCAGTTCAAGTACTAGAGAGACAGGTATTCCAGACTTCAATTTGCTGTGCAGTTGTACCTTGAACTCAGTGGGCACTCTTTAATCCCACACTATTTTTATTCCAGGATCAGGTTCCTCCCTCATTGCATATAATGAAGGATGATGGTTACAGTCTCACAGCTAGCATCTCCCAACATCTGAATGCCTGATTTAGCTATCCAGATTGCTCATTACACATAAGTAAGTTCACCTGTCAAATTCATGGGATTTGGGAAAGACTGAAGTGAACGCAAGTTGCTATTTTACCTTCTTACTACTTAGGACAGTGCAAAGATTTGTATTTAAGTTATTTGCTGCTTCTGCCTCTTAGTTTGGCTCAACCAAATTCAAAGTAAACGTTATATATCCAGTATGCACAGAGTCCAAGAGAAATGGGATTAGCAAGAAAATACCACGAAGAATACAAACTACTTCTGAAGGTTCACAAAAGCTTCTCAGATTTGATTTCTTCCCTTAGATTAGGAGTCACACTAGCAGTAGTGGTGACTTTAAACACGACAAGGTAAAAGCTGAAAGTAGTGCTGCTGATTCCAGTGCCAGGTTCATCAACATGAGATTTGTGTTTCACATTTTCAGTGTACTGGTGTCAAAGAGGAAACAACTATATACACATTAAAAAGTTGAAGTATGAAAGGGAGAGGTTCTACTGTACTGTTTCTGAAAGGTGCATAAGTGAAGAGCCATAGAGTAACTATGCCATCATTTGTCTTTACCCATCCTAATCCAATACAGGAGGACTTGAATTCAAGACTTAATTTAGGGAAGCTTGCTCTGACTGCCTCTCCCAAATAGCAGCACTGATGTTGCAGTATGTAATTACAACTTGTGCATTTCTTCACCGATTTAAGGAAAACATTCAACTTAAAACATTCACAGTAGTGAAGATGTGCACTGCCTTTCTATTCTGCTTGTTTGCAACTGGATTTACTCTTCAGTGCTCCTCAGAGAGGGCAGCTACAGGATCACCCAGAGTATGGCACAGTGCAGGAGTACCAATGCCCTTTAGGTGTGAGATACACATAATTATAAATTCTGCTAGAAGGAAGCTCTGACCATTAGTCAGACATAGCCTTTGGGCATTGAACTGCGAAGCACAAATAGATGAATAAGTAACAAAATGGCCACCATGTGGGCCCAAATGCATTTAAAACTACAAATGAGCTGTTCTTTAGTGAGTTCACTAATTTATTCCAGCCATCTGTATCAGTGTAAACAAAAGCTTGTCTCCTAAAGAGCTTAATAATTTTCAAAATGTAGCAAGGACCACGAGTTTCCATGTGATCATCTTAGGGAAAAAAATCAAGAAAAATATATTTTTACACCACAAACATCTTATGATAACCACTATCATATAACCATGCAATTCAAAGAAATACTAAAAAGTAAAACTTGTTTCTGGCTTGACATATCTTTTCCTATTTAAATGGCATGAAATATTTCATTAGGATATTTTAGGGGATGGAAAATTCTGGCAATTTGTCCCCCCTCCAGTCTCTAGTGATGATATCTGTAGACAAATTCTGTATTTATTACTAAGCCTGGGAATTGCTAAATTGATGTATTTGGTTTGTACTGCTCTGAGAATGTTTACTCTGTATGTGCCCCAATTTATTTTCAGGTTTTGAATATGCTTCTTATATTGCTGGACCTTAGCTAAAGAAAATAGTCAAAAAATATGAGTGTTTATAAGCTAAAATGTGTACATTTAGCATGATTGAATACAAGCAATTACAGAGCTCAGATTAAGATAGAATTTCTGACCACTAAGCATGAAGGAGAGAAAGTTGTAAATACTTTTTAGGAAGCATATATTGGACTTTTAGGGAATCTGGGCAGCCACTCAGTTATATCTGAGAAAATTATAATTTCTGAAAAAAAACCACAAAATACATTATGATCTTTGATATTGTGAAATCCCTTAGATTCCTCTGAGATATCATAATTTTTGTGGTGGAAGGGGTCTCACATTCATCTTTCAGCTCCAGGTGTTAGAAGCAGAGGGTGCTGCCTTCTAGACATATACATCTCTAGGGTGAGAAGAGAGAAAACTAAGCCCTGTTCTGAAGGAACAGACCATTTGCATT